CTTACTGATCTTGATGATGTTATCCAGTACGCTCGATGCTCTCGGTTCTACTGGATTTGTGAACATGGGCTCGGTGGGGATGTCCGCCGAGACGCTCCTCGCCGGAGCGGCTCGCCCCCTGCCGCCGCGCCCGCCAACTCCTCCGGGCGGTGGCAACGGCCCGGGAGGGGTGGCCGACAAGCCCGCGCGCGCGGCGGTCTGCAGGGACCCAGACGGAGTTCATGGCGGCCGCCAGCGCCGTCTGGCTTGCGGCCCGGAAGGCGGACCCGCACGACCCTCGGACGGCCTGCGAGCGCCGGCCGAGCGAGGCCTGGAGCGGTCGGGCGGGGGGGGGGGCGACGAGCCCACGGGGCCCCTCCCAGCCAGCCGAGCGGGGGCGCGACCCACAACGGCCTGGCCTGCCCAAGAGCCCAAGCCGGCGCCGGACTGGACGGGACGTCGCCCACGCAGCCCGCGGCTGCAGCGCCTCGCGCTGGAGGAAAGGGGGGAGGAGGAGGAGGAGGAGGAGGAGGAGGAGGAGGAGGAGGAGGAGGAGGAGGAGGAGGAGGAGGAGGAGGAGGAGGAGGAGGAGGAGGAGGAGGAGGAGGAGGAGGAGGAGGAGGAGGAGGAGGAGGAGGAGGAGGAGGAGGAGGAGGGAGGAGGAGGAGGGAGGAGGAAGGAGGAGGAGGAGGAGGGAGGCCCAAGAAGACCCCCCCCCCATCATGGCAGCGCCCAGTGCCGAGCCCAGGCCGTCGGCCTTGGGAGCGGGGCGGGAGCCCAGCCCTGTGGCAGTGGCTGTTCTTCATGAAGGTCCGGGACCAAAGCCCGTATCTGATCGGCCCGGGAAGAGAGGGGAGGAGACAGGACGAGGACGTCCTCCGGGACTGGGCGGTCCACCTGGCCCACGCCCGGAAGCTTTCGGAGGGAACAATCCGGGGGAAGCTGGTGGCAGCGCGGCATGACCACGTGGCCGCGGGTTACCCAGACCCACTGGAGTTGGCCCCCCAGTTGCGGCTAGCGCTGGGGGGAGGACTGCAGAGGCCAGGGACCAAGCAGAACAGGAAGTAGACCGCAACGGTGGAGATGACGAGCTGGCTGCAGAAGAAGCTCAACACTGAGAGGCTTGGGGGCGCGGCCAAGTGGGCCGCCATCTCGGTCGCCTTATTCATGTTTCGGGCCCCGGTGTGCCTGGCCGACACCTCGGGGGGGCGTCCCAGGGCAGCGAGCCGGGTCTTGCCCGGGCGGGACGTCGCCCCAAGGAGGCAGTCTGCATTTCCTTCGCGTCCGAGGACGAGGTGGTGATATACATCAAGGGGAGCTAGACCGACCAGTGCAACTTCGGATGTCGCTGGAACCACTACGCCACCGAGAAAGCCCTGTGCCCCGTCAAGGCCTTGGCCGAGCTGGAGCGGCTGGCCCCCCGGCGCTGGACGTCGGAAAGGAGAGGCCGCCTCGTTCCGAGACGAGGCAAGGGAACCCATCCGCTGGCAGGACATCAAGGCGCTGCTGGACCAAGCGGCGGAGGCGGCATTGACCCACCCCTCGCGCATCGGAAGTCATTCCCTGAGGATCGGAGGGGCCACCACCATGTACCGCGCGTTCCCAGACCTGGAGAGACTGAAGAGGTTCGGGCGGTGGAAGTCCAGTGCCATCCACGTCTACCTTTGGGGGGCGACGAACCCGAGAAGGGCCTGGCAGAGGCCATGTCAGCCCAGAACTACCAGCTCACCCTGGGGAGCGCCAGCCGACGGAAACTGGATGGAACAGAGCGAGAGGAGCCGAGGGGGGCGAGGTTCACCCATGATCCCCCAGAGATGTACCCGAAGGTAGACCAAGGAGCCCTGCCCGGGAGGAGTTGGAGCGGCCGGGGCGCCCACGGAAGGTAGAGGGAAGGATTGCCCTTGGACCCCCGGAGCGCGGCGCACAGGTGCCGCCCTCCAGCCATCCGCGGCTCGGCCAGCGGCTGCGTCCGCAATCGTTTTCAGCACGCGCTTTCGGGGGCCACCCTGGCCCCCCCCCCGTTCCACGCAGCACCTGGGGAAGGGTAGCCTTGTGGCTCGCCCCGCGCCGCGCGCTTGAGGGGCTGGCCGACGTGCCTGGTCTTCGCAGTCTTTGGCAGGGAAAGAAGGTGTGCTTAGCGGGGCTTGGGTCGGGTGGGCGGCGTGCCCACGACTGCACCCCCGCTAGGCCGGCCCCTCCTCTCTCCTCGCATCGCGCACGGAGTCCAGTCGGGAATCTAGTTCTGTTTGGGCGGAGCTGAAACGGGAGGATGCCTCTTGGGTGTGCGCCTGCCCTCCTCTCCCCCCTTTTCCATCCTCCCCGCGCGGCCGCGGCCTTCTAGCTCGGGTGCATGTTGTTTTTTCCACCCCCCTCCCAACTCTTTCGCCCACCGTAGTGCGGGCGGGCGTGCCTACGACCGAACCCCGGCTCTTCGCTACGCTAAAAAAAAACCCTCCCCTCTCCTCGCATCGTGCGCGGAGTCCAGTCGGGAATCCGGTTGCTTTTTTCTATGTTGTTAGCGTTTTTGTTCCCTTCGGCTTTCCGACGTGCCGAGACGGCTCAAGAGGTCCCCATAGACTTCGCCCAGGCGGCCCGAGACGCCCCCGAGCGGGCCCGACACGCCTCCAAGACGGCCCATGAAGACCCCAAGACGGCCCCAAGAAGGGCTCAAGAAGGGCTCCAGAGGAGGAGCTCGGAGCGAAAATCCAAGATTTCCGCCTCGACTGACCCAAGAGGCCCGCAAGAGGCCCCAAGAGGCTTCCAAGACCCCCCCAAGGCAGCCCAGCACGGCCCCCAGAGGCGCCCAAAAGGCGCCCAAAGCAGCCCAAGGATGTCCCAAGTCGGCCCGGGGAAGGGGTCTCGGTATCGTCGGCCTCGCACGTACAATGAAAGACGAAGCCAGCAATTATGCACAGCGCGTTCCTGCGGGAACAAATGAAAGTGAAGCCAGGAATTGTGCACATCGCGTTCCGACAGGATCCTTCAAGAACACGGTCGAGGAGGAGAAAGGTCTTGAGGAGGAGGAGGAGGAGGAGGAGGAGGAGGAGGAGGAGGAGGAGGAGGAGATGGAGGAGGTGGAGGAGGAGAAGAAGAAGAAGAAGAAGGAGGAGGAGGAGGAGGAGGAGGAGGAGCATTGGAAGACCTTTCGAAACCTTTCGAGCCGCCACAAGTCGTGGCTGCCGCCGCGGGCGCGCCCCCCTCGCGCGCGCGCGCGGCGGGTGCGGGCGCTCCTCCCGCGCCGCGCGGGTCCCCGGTCTCTGGCCACTCCCCTGCGCGCGCCCGCTTTCTCAACCGGCTCCCCAGGTTGTGTGGCGCTGGGGGGTGCGCCCCGCAGGCGCGGGCCTGCGCCAATCTCCTTCGATCGACGCCCGCGGCGCCTGGGCCCGCTCCCCCGGGCACACCCCCCTTCTCAAGAGGCTCCCGCTCGGGGGATGGGGCGGCCGCGGGCGCCCGCCTGCTGCGCCGCGTCCCCGCCCTGCTGCTGCGCCGCCCGGAGCAGGCCCAGCCGCGCGCTGGGTCTCTTCGCATCCAGCGCGAAGCCCGCCAGGTCCGCCCAGCGCCGCTCCGCAGTCAGCGCCGAGACTGGGCGAGGCGCTCCGCCGCCGTCGGCGGGTCGGCTGCCAACGCCGCCTGCTCCGCAGCAGCGTCCCGGCCTCGGCGTGCTCCGCGTCGGGCAGCATTTGCTGAGGTGCGCCATGTGCCCCCGGGGCCTCCGCCGCGTCCTGCCGCTTCCGCCGGTTCAGGCGCGCGCGCGCAACCGCAGGAAGCGCCCCGCGTCGGCCGTGGCCTGCGCCTTCGGGCTCGCCTGCAGCTGGCCCTCCACCTTCTCGTGCAAGGCGTCGCGGTCCTTCTCCGCCAGCGCCACCAGTCGTTCGGCCTCGGTTTCCACCCGTTTTGCCTCCAGCAGCGTCTCGTCGGGCGCCCTGTGGGAGCGCTCCTCCTGGCGTTCGGCCTCTCTGCGCCGCAGCCGCGCCTGCGCCAGGCTTGCCGCCGCGGTCTCGGCCAGGGCCTTCCCGCTCGGCCAGGCCGTGCTGGCTCGCAGCCCTTGGGCCTCCGCCAACGCTGCTGCGGCCAGCTCCTGCAGGGCCTTCCCGCTCGGCCAGGCTGTGCTGGCCCGCAGCTCCTGGACCTCCGCCAGCGCCGCCGCGGCCAGCTCCTGCGCCTCCGCGAGGGTGGGCTCGGCCTCAGCCTGGCGCCTGCCGCCACGGAGGGCCTCTTCCAGAGCTGCCCCCGAGCAGGGCGGGCTGGCAGCCTCTGTGGCCGTCGAGCTCCGCGAAGGCCGCCAGCAGCCTCTGCGGGGCGCTGCTGCGCGCGGCGCGCGGCGCGCGGCACCCGTCGGGGTCGGCCGGCGCCCAGGACAAGCAGCGCTGAGGTGCATCGCGCGCGCACGCGCGCGGGGGGGGCCCGAGGTGGCGAGGGGGGAGAGGCGAGCGGCGGCGGACAGCGCGGGAGCCCCGCTGTCGCTGGCTCGTGGGCCCAGGGTCGGGCCGAGCTGGCGCTGGATGAGGATCTGGAGGAGGAGGAGGAGGAGGAGGAGGAGGAGGAGGAGGAGGAGGAGGGGAAGGAGGAGGAGGAGGAGGATCTGGAGGTCTCCCACCCCCTCGTCGCACGCATCGTATTCTCTGCCCGGCTCAGTCCGGTTCCAGAGGGAGGTTCGGCCCAGTTCAGGGTTTCCGAAGTTGGTTCGGTTTACTTCGGTTCGAGTGTCGAAAACGACCTGCTCGTTTCGGTTCGGTCCGCGTTGAAAAAATGGCGGGTTCACACCGGCTCGGTTCGGCCTGGTTCGGTTCGGGCAGTTCGGTTCGCTTCCAGAGCCATGACCTAGACACTATTGCTGTGGCGCAAAACGGGCGAGATCGGGCGATGGCGGCTCCTCCTCCTCCTCCTCCTCCTCCTCCTCCTCCTCCTCCTCCTCCTCATCATCATCATCATCATCATCAGCATCATCATCATCAGCATCATCAGCATCATCAGCATCATCAGCATCATCATCATCATCCTCTCTCTTTCCCACCCTCCCTCCCAAGGTCTGGCCCAGCCCGTCAGGTCCCCACCAGCCCGCGCGGCCGACTCCCGTGCTGCCTCGAGGGCCTACCAGCCATGGCTGCGGCGATGAGGAGGGCCGCCCCCACGGGCCGCCAGCTCGCGCCCCGGCTGGCGCTCGGCGCCGATGGGGGGGGAGGAGGAGGAGGAGGAGGAGGAGGAGGAGGAGGAGGAGGAGGAGGAGGAGGAGGAGGAGGAGCAGGAGCAGGAGCAGGAGCAGGAGCAGGAGCAGGATCAGGAGCAGGAGCAGGAGCAGGAGCAGGAGCAGGAGCAGGAGCAGGGGCAAGGAGCAGGGCAAGAGCAGGAGCCGTCGCAGTGAGCAGGAGCAAGGAGAGCAGGAGGAGGAGACAGGAGGAGCCGGCGTAGCAGGAGGAGAAGGAGGCGAGGAGGGAGGAGGCAAAAGCAGGAGGAGGAGGAGGGGAGGGAGGTGGCAGGAGGAGGAGGAGGGGAGGGAGGAGCAAGGGGATGGGGAATGGACAGGAGATGGTGGAGGAGCAGGAGGAGCAGATTAGGGAGGAGAAGCCAGGAGGAAGGAAGGGAGAGGAGAAGCGGGGAGGGGAGGAGGAGCGAGGAGAAGGGCCCAACTCGCCGCCCCCCCCCCCAAAAAAAAGCCGACTCCGAGGGGCCCGTCTCAGTCGCAGAAGGGGGGGAGAGGGGGGGGGGCGCCTGACGCGAAGAAGAAGAAGAAAAAGAAGAAGCGGAGGGGAGGAGGAGGAGGAGGAGGGAGGAGGAGGAGGAGAGAAGAAGAATAAGAAGAAGAAGGAAGCAGAAGGAGGAGGAGGAGGAGGAGGAGGAGAAGTAGGAGGAGAAGCAGGAGGAGGAGGAGGAGAAGAAGAAGAAGTTGTGTGAACATGAACTGTCGGAAGTCCGCGCGGGCTGCTCGGGTCGGCGGTGGGCCCCCCCTGGCGGCGTTTCCTGCGCGCCCTTGGCGCGCCTCGCGCGCGCATGGGGAGGGGGTCCAGCGCCGACCCGAGAGCCGCCAGCTGCAACATGGGCGGGTAGGCCCATACATACATCCATATATATATATACACATACATACATACATGCATACATACATACATGCATACATACATACATACATACATACAGACAGACAGACAGACATACAGACAGACAGACAGACAGACAGACAGACAGACCGACAGACAGACCGACAGACAGACAGACAGACAGACAGACAGACAGGCAGACATACATACATACAAACATGCAGGTGTGTGTATATATATATATATGTATATGTACACATATATATATATATATATATATATATGTATATATGTATATATGTATAGATTGAAGAAATGGGCCGGTAGGCCCATGCATTTGTCCAGGGGCGCGCTGGTCGCACATGTCTTCGGCGGAGGCTCCCACAGGGACACGTGCAATGCCCCCCCTGGGCCATCCGCTGTTTCTGCCCCCACCCCACCCCACCCCACCCCACTCGCCCACCGCGCGGGCCCCCGAGAGCTCATGCGCTCATGCAGCTTGTGTGTGTGTGCCTTTTTGTGTGTGCATGTGTGGGGTGGGGGGGGGACTCGGCCCCCGCCCCCCAGGCGTCGCGCTGGCCGCGCTGGCCTCGCGGCTCGCCACCCCGGCTGCCCCCAGCGCCTTCGTGGGCACGGCGCTCCAGGAGGCCGACGGCCCCCCGGCAAAACCGGCAGAGGGCCGCCGGGGCGCGGCGGCCAGGGGCGGCGCCGGGCCCCCACCGGGCTCCTGCTGTTGCGCCCCGCCCCCCCCGCCAGGGGCGCCCAGGGGCCCAGGGGCAGCCCTCAGGTGTGGCCTCGGTGCCCTTCGCCTGCTGCCTCCGCCTTCCCTCCCTCCCCCTCCATGCTCCTCCTGCTCCCCCTCCTCCTCCTCCTCCTCCTCCTCCTCCTCCTCCTCCTCCTCCTCCTCCTCCTCCTCCTCCTCCTCCTCCTCCTCCTCCTGCGGCGGCGGCGTGAGGCTCCAGTTGGCCAGAACTCGGGGGGTCCTGCCGCTTTCTGGCGGCCCCGGCGTGAGCCCTGACGGTGCAGACGTTGTGAGGTTCTTGCAGCGGGAGCTCGCGTGCATCTGTTACGGACGGGTCACGCCATTTTTCTGACGGTGCCGTCGGGCAGACTCGAGCCCCCAACGTCTCCCCGATCCTCCCCCTCCTGCTCCTTCCCGTCTCGTCCTGCACAGGGGGAGCAGCATCCGTCTTCCATTCCAAGGCGTCCGAGTAATTCTGGCAGTCGACTGGAAGGAACAAAAATATCTTGGCGAAGGACCACACCATATGCAATTGTGAGCACCGTGTTGTGGCATCGCTTTCGGTGGAGCTCCCGATGGGTCCACGAAAAGTGTGAGGAGTGTGCCGAAGTGGGTGGGGAACCGCATACGAACCCTGTCACTGGGGCCTTCGGTGGAGCTCCTTATGGGGCCATGAAGCTGTGAGGGGTGTGCCGACAATGGCGGGGAACCGCATGGGAGCCCTGCCAATGGGCCGTTCCGTGGAGCTCCCGATGGGTCCACAAAACGTGTGAGCGGTGTGCCGAAATGGAGCCTCGAAGCGTGTGAGAGGTGTGCCGACATGGGCGGGGAACCGCATGCAAACCCTGCCACTGTGGCCTTCCGTGGAGCTCCTTGCGGGGCCACGAAAAGTGTGAGAGATGTGCGGAAATGGGCGGAGAACCGCATGCGAACCTTGCCACTGGGGCCATTCGGTGGAGCTCCTTCTGGGACCATGAAACGTGTGAGGGGTGTGCCGACATGGGCTGGGAACCGCATGGGAGCCCTGCCACTGGGGCCTTCGATGGAGCTCCTCCCTATGGGTCCACGAATCGTGTGCGGGGTGTGCCGGAGTGGTCGGGGAACCGCATGCGAACCTTGCCACTGAGGCCGTCGGTGGAGCTCCCGATGGGTCCACGAAACGTGTGAGGGGCGATCCCTGCCACTAAGGCCTTCTGTGGAGCTCCCTATGGGGCCACGAAACGCGTGATTCGTTTGCCGAATGCGAAGGTTATTCAGGTGTTCATGTTTTTGCGCGTCTATCCACCTGGGCGCGCATAGATCCCCCAAAACTTACTGAACAAAACATGTTTTTTTGCCTGGGTTTCTCAGCCTCTGACCTGAAGCAACAATTTTTTTCAATGGATTATCTACCTCTGGCTTGACAAGAGGCGCCACGAGCAGAGATGGAGGAAGATAATGAGCGCAATCGCAAGGATGAACTGAATTCATCAGGCGCTCTCCTCCTCCTCCCCCTCCTCTTTCTCTTCCTCGTCCTCCTCCACCTCCCCCTTCATCCCCCTCCTCCTCCTCCTCCTCCTCCTTCCCCCCCTCTTTCTTCCTCCTCCACCCCCTCCGCCTCCTCCTCCTCCTCCTCCTCCTCCTCCTCCTACTCCTCCCCCTCCTCCTCCCCCTCCCCCTCCTCCTCCTCCTCCTCCTCCTCCTCCTCCTCCTCCTCCTCCTCCTCCTCCTCCTCCTCCTCCTCCTCCTCCTCTCTCTGTCTCTCTCTTTTTGTTCTTTCTCTCTCTCTCTCTCTCTCTCTCTCTCTCTCTCTCCCATCCCCTCTCTCTCCCACCCCCTCTCTCTGTCTCTGTCGCTGTCTATGTCTCTGTCTCCGTTGTCTGCATCTCTCTCTCTCTCTCTCTCTTTCTCCTTCTGCTGGTGTGTGTGTTGTGTGTTTTGTGTTTTGTGTGTTGTGTGTGTGTTTTGTGTGTTGTGTGTGTGTTGTGTGTGTTGTGTGTGGTGTGTGTTGTGTGTGTTTGTTTGTGTTTGTTTGTGTTTTTTGTGTGTTGTGTGTGTTGTGTGTGTGTGTTGTGTGTGTTGTGTGTTGTGTGTGTGTTGTGTGTGTTGTGTGTGTTGTGTGGTGTGTGTGGTGTGTGTGGTGTGTGGTGTGTGTTGTGTGTGTTGTGTGTGCTGTGTGTGTGTTGTGTGTGTGTTGTGTGTGTTGTGTGTGTTGTGTGTGTTGTGTGTGTTGTGTGTTGTGTGTGTGCTGTGTGTGCTGTGTGTTGTGTGTTGTGTGTTGTGTGTGTTGTGTGTTGTGTGTGTTGCGTGTGTTCTGTGTGTTGTGTGTTGTGTGTGTTGTGTGTTGTGTGTGTTGTGTGTGTGTTGTGTGTGTTGTGTGTGTTGTGTGTTTTGTGTGTTGTGTGTGTTGTGTCTCTTGTGTGTCTTGTGTGTGTTGTGTGTGTTGTGTGTTGTGTGTGTTGTGTGTTGTGTGTTGTGTGTGTTGTGTGTGTTGTGTGTGATGTGTGTGTTGTGCGTGTTGTGTGTTGTGTGTGTTGTGTGAGTGTGTTGTGTGTTGTGTGTTGTATGTGTTGTGTGTGTGTTGTGTGTTGTGTGTGTGTGTTTTTTGTGTGTTCTGTGTGGTGTGTGTTGTGTGTGTTGTGTGTGTTGTGTGTGTTGTGTGTGGTGTGTGTGTGTTGTGTGTGTTGTGTGTGTGTGGTGTGTGTGGTGTGTGTGTGTGGTTGGTTGTGTTGTGTGTTGGGTGTGTTTGTGTGTGTTGGTGTCGTTGTGTGTGTGGTGTGGGTTGTGTGTGGTGTGGTGCTGTGTGTTGTGTGTTGTGTGTGTTGGTGTTGTGTGGTTGTGTGTGTTTGTGGTGGTGTGTTGTTGTGTTGTGGTGTTGTGTTTTGTTGGTGTGTTGTGGTGATTGTGTGTGGTGTGTGAGTGTTGTGTTTTGTGTGTGTTTGTGTGTTTGTGTGTGTTTGTGTCGTGTGCTGTGTCGGGTGTTGTTTGTTGTGTGTGTTGGTGTGTGTGTTTGTGTGTTCTGTGTGTGTGTTGTTGTGTGTTGTGTGTGTGTGTTGCGTGGTGTGTGTGTTGTGTGTGTTGTGTGTTGTGTGTGTGTTGTTTGTGTTTTGTTTGTGTGCGTTGTGTGGTTGTGTGTTGTGTGTGTTTTGTGTGTTGGGTGTGTGTGCTGTGCGGTTTGTTGTGTGTTGTGCGTGTTGTGTGTGGTGTGTGTGTTGTGTGTGTTGTGTGTGTTGTGTGTGTTGTGTGTGTTGTGTGTTGTGTGTGTTGTGTGTGTTGTGTGTGTTGTGTGTGTTGTGTGTGTGTTGTGTGTGTGTTGTGTGTGTTGTGTGTGTTGTGTGTTGTGTGTGTTGTGTGTGTTGTGTGTGTTGTGTGTGTGGGTTGTGTGTGGGTTGTGTGTGTTGTGGGTGTGTTGTGTGTGTGTTGTGTGTGTGTTGTGTGTGTTGTGTGTGTTGTGTGTGTTGTGTGTGTGTTGTGTGTGTGTGTCGTGTGTGTGTGTTGTGTGTGGTGTGTGTTGTGTGTTGTGTGTGTTGTGTGTGTTGTGTGTGTTGTGTGTGTTGTGTGTGTTGTGTGTGTTGTGTGTTGTGTGTGTTGTGTGTGTGTTGTGTGTCTTGTGTGTGCTGTGTGTGCTGTGTGTGTTGTGTGTGTTGTGTGTGTGTGTTGTGTGTTGTGTGTGCTGTGTGTGTGTTGTGTGTGTTGTGTGTGCTGTGTGTGTTGTGTGTTTGTGTGTTGTGTGTGTTGATGTGGTTTGTGTGTGTTGTGTGTCGTTGTGTGTGTTTGTGTGTGTGTTGTGTGGTGTGTGTGATGTGTGTTGTTGTGTTGTTGTGTTGTGTGTGTTTGTGTGTTTGTGTGAGTGTGTTGTGTGTTTGTGTGGGTTGTTGTGTGTTGTGTGTGTCGTGTATTGTGTGTGCTGTGTGTGTTTTGTGTGTTGTGTGTGCTGTGTGTGTTGTGTGTGTGTTGTGTGTTGTGTGTGTTGTGTGTGTTGTGTGTGCTGTGTGTGCGTTGTGTGTGTTGTGTGTAGTGTATTGCGTGTGTGCTGTGTGTTTTGTGTGTTGTGTGTTGTGTGTTGTTTGTGGTGTGTGTGTGTGTTGTGTGTGTTGTGTGTTGTGTGTTGTGTGTGTTGTGTGTGTGTTGTGTGTGTTGTGTGGTATGTGTCGTGTGTTGTGCGTTGTGTGTTGTGTGTTGTGTGTGCGTGTGTGCGTGTGTGCTGTGTGCGTGTGGTGCGTGTGTTGTGTGTTGTGTGTTGTGTGGTTTGTGTGTGTGTGTTGTTGGTGTTCTGTGTGTGTGCGTTGTGTTGTGTGGGTGACGTGTGTTTGGGTTGTGTGTTGGTGTTGTGTGTTGTGTGGCGGTGTGCGTGTGTGCGTGTGTTGTGTGTGCGTGTGTGTGTGTTGTGTTTGTGTGTTGTGTGTGGCGTGTG